AGGGGAGTTATGGGGACTATTGGCTCGGGAAACCGAAATGTTGATGGCCAGTCAGAGATAGCAGATGCAATGTCTAGTGTCCTTCAGAGTCCTGCTTTAAATGGTTTGTTGAGTGGGGTTTCACAACAAACTGGGGCTGGCTCTCCGGATCTCTTGAGGAATATGATGCAGCAATTCACTCAAAGTCCAGCAATGATGAACACTGTAAGTCAGATTGCGCAGCAGATTGACACCCAGGATCTTGGAAGCATGTTTTCCGGGCAAGGTGGTGGTATGGACTTGTCTAGGATGTTTCAGCAAATGATGCCAATTGTGTCTCAAGCTCTTGGTGGCATCTCAGGTGTGCCTCAACGAATTCCTAATATTGCACAGAGGCTTGGTGAGAATACTGCAGTAAGAGGGGCAACACCAACCACTGAAAACGTTCAGGTTTGTTCCTGTTAGCTATTTATTTTGTTAGAATGATGTATTTACAAAATTTAAGTTTTATGTATCAATTGCAATCTTTTCAGATTGATCTTCATGAGGTTGCCCAAGAAATCGAGAACAATAGTCCACCTGTAGAGATTCTTCGTTCTTTGGTTCAAAGTACAGAATCTTTGCATCACCATGGAAGTAGCGATCTAAGTCTGGCTGATGAACTATCCAGTGAAGAGAACCTAGCCGACGTGAGTAGCTGGATTTGTGATTTGAGTTTGGTGTTTGTTAAGGGTATGCATGGGTCTTATGTTTCATTCTCATTCCTGCAGGAATTCATGCAGATGCTGCGTAATGATGTTTCTCAGCGATTCAAGGATAAAGAGGGCAAATAGGGAATATACTTAATTTTTCTTCTCATTTTCTGATATTATTTCTAAAGAATGTCATCATTTTGGGTTCTCAATTAGACAGACAGAGACAGCTGATGTGGGGGGAAACCATTATTATACTATTCCCGTGTGTATATGTACATACCTATGGAATAGTTAATCCAGTGGATGGGAACTGTATTTTCTATGTTTAATCAAAACAATGGTACCATTTTATTCTATCAATGTGGGTTTCTATAACAACAAAATCACAGTAATCCTTCAAGTGGAACCTTACTCCTACGGTAGAGATGTGGGTATTGTTTGATGCATGATTGGTTCTCTCCTCCATCACTAAACAATTCAAGTGGGTATCTGTAGTACCCAATTGGTGGTATAACAACATATTTAATTTAGTGTAATTCCTCTTGAACCTCAATCTCACTCCGCCAATACCTGAAACTGATATAAACTGTATTCAATATCTGGCCTCTTAATCTTTTTAACTTGATGATAATTGATAGGTTTGTGTGGCGTTGATTAAATGGATCATTGACGTAACCCTATTCAAAAGTAGGTTCAAATAGTAATAAGATTGTTAATGTCAAATTGCTTAGTAGATGTAATTAATGCCAATGAATAACAATAACTCAATTGACAATATAAAAATAATTGTTCCTTATCGGTACAAAACTTTAAAAAATTGCGTAGTTTTGATCAAGTAGACAAAATATTCGATTGGTGCCTGCAGTGGAGTAGTTGGGACATTTAAAATTGCTCTAACGCATAAGTTTGTTTCAGAACTCATACAGTAATTATAATTTGTGTTTTTTTTTTTTGGATAAATTTGTTCTAAACTTATGTCTCGCCAATTGCAATTTTGTATTGGGAAATTAGGCTAATGATAGTCAGTGACATAATTACAAAATAAACAGAAGTAGATATAACAGGCTGTTTGAAGTGCCTAGTTACATGACTTGCCTAATTACATGAGTTGGGTTCTAAATAATTAATTTTTTTCTAAAAATTTACAAAATACACATTATTAAATAGGACCAAAAATGTATCTTGAGCAAAACTGATCATGTCAGTTAAGTAGGTAAAGCTTTTGAAAGACAAAGTTAGCTACGCATTCCAAGTTTAGATGAGTAGTTTAGCAGCTATAAAAACAAGAAGTGAAGATGTAACAAATCATAAAACAAAGTGACATCGACTTAAAAAGCTTTTTTTTTTTTTTCATCATTTTGGAAATGGCCTCAACAAAACAATATTTTTCTGCTGCTGGTAAGCCTATTCGTTGCAAAGGTATGTACTATATACTCTCTGTCTATAAATGATCTTCAGCGGAAATATATTTTTTAGAGGGCAATTACTAGTAACAATTATATTTTAGCACTTTTTGTAAATGTTGCTAAAGCTTGCGGCGACAATTTACATAAAAGCCGCTTTAACATTCTTTGCTAATGTGTATATTTATTGCCGCTATTGTTGTTATAGTGCTGTGATGAATCCAGATATTTTGAGGACTAAATCATCGAATTGAGTGTCCCTTTGTCGAAAATACTGTATATATCAGGTCAATTCTGTATTTACTTTATATATGTAGATGATGAACACAGGTACTATGAGATCATATGGTTCCTACATTGAATATGAACAAGAACTGATCCTCACCTTGCATATGTAGAAAAAGGGTTCTTAGCATTTGTTGATTGGTAAAGGAACATGAAAACAATAGGAGGATTTATGATTGATAAAAAAATTGCTGCTTTCTGTGTTGAATTGTGAACCATTTCAATGGTTAGATTAAATTGTGTGACAGTTAGCAAATTGAGAGTGCAATGTTAATTACTTAATTATATTATGTCTCAACACGTTGTAAGTTACTGACTTGTGAGTCGTATGTGTTGCAGCTGCAGTGGCAAGAAAAGCAGGAGAACCACTGGTGATAGAGGAAGTGATTGTGGCTCCTCCTAAAGCACATGAAGTTCGGCTCAAAATCATTTGCACTTCTCTCTGTCATACCGACATTACCTTATGGAAGTTGAAAGTATGGAACTTTTATCTCCCCCGAGAATCGATTGTTTATTAACTTTTGTATCAACTATTTCTTGCTTCTTGTAAGGAATTTCCTGGCTGCTTTCCAAGAATCTTAGGCCATGAAGCTTTCGGGTAAATTTTACTCCTTCCATTTCATTTTATATGAACGTGTCACGAAATAAGGCATTGATTCATATATGACATTCTGACTATACTATCTAAGGGTTGTGGAGAGTGTTGGAGAAGATGTTGATGAGTTGAAAGAAGGAGATTCAGTTGTACCGATATTTTTGCCTGACTGTATGGACTGTGTAGACTGTAAATCCAAGAAAAGCAACCTTTGTTCCAAATTCCCAATTCAAGTGTCTCCGTTGCTGCATAGAAATGATACAAGCAGATTCTCTAATGCTGCAGGAGAAACTTTACATCATTTCTTGTATATATCAAGTTTCTCCGAGTACACAGTTGTTGATGTTGTTAACGTAACAAAGATTGATCCTGAAATCCCACCTAACAGGGCGTGTCTTTTGAGTTGTGGCGTATCAACAGGTAATTTACTCATCTTCTAATATTTACATGTTAAAATCAACCACTCAAGTCATCATATTAATGTTGTTTGTTTCAATTTTCCTTATGGTAATATACAAATACATGAAAAAACTATGTATTAAGAGCTTAGAACAGGTTCATGTCTGATATGATGTAAATTGATCTTCAGGAGTAGGTGCTGCCTGGAAAACAGCAAATGTGGAACCAGGTTCGACAGTAGTCATCTTCGGTTTAGGATCAATTGGATTAGCAGTAAGTTTCTCCTCCGAGTTCTTCTTGCTTATATATATCGGTTATCATGTAAGCTCGGAGATTCTTTTAGGTTGCAGAGGGAGCAAGGCTATGTGGAGCTACCAGGATTATCGGTGTTGATATAAACTCTAACAAGTTTGAAATAGGTAAGTGCTCTGTAGAGTCAATTAACAGTACTACTTTTTGTTGTTGCTTTTAGCTTTCTCATTTTATACAGGGAAGCAATTTGGAATTACTGAATTTGTCAATTCCAAAAGCTGTGTGGATAAACCTATTAGTCAGGTGAGTCTTTTATTCGTTCGATTGGTTACACTATCAGGTCATCCAAAGTATATATCTACATGTAAGTCTCCATAAAATGTGAGATTCACAATCTTGAAAATAGTAAGACGGATGGTATAAAATTCTTACACTGATGGTGTATATAACTTAAATATGACAAGAATTCCCCCCCACCCCCACCCCTCCCCCTTTCCGTTTACTTGAGCAGGTAATAATCGAGATGACTGATGGCGGTGCTGACTATTGCTTCGAATGTGTTGGTCTAGCAACACTTGTGCAAGAAGCATTTACCTGCTGCAGAAAGGTGACTCCACATAACTCTTTTACTAATTAACAATTTGTCATTTTCTTTTCACAACTCTTTGTGTGTAATATGCAGGGTTGGGGTAAAACAGTTGTTTTAGGAGTTGATAAGCCAGATGCACATCTAAATCTCAACTCTTTTGAGGTTCTTCAGAGTCAGAAAACTCTCACTGGAGCACTCTTTGGTGGTCTTAAACCCAAATCTGATGTTCCTATACTCGTTAAACGTTACCTTGACAAGGTACTTAATCAATCTGCTAGAAAATTCAGTGAAATTAACCTTTACTACAACATTTATGTGGCTTTTCAGGAACTGCAGTTGAACAAGTTTGTGACACATGAAGTGAATTTTGAAGATATCAATAAGGCGTTCGATTTACTCATTCAAGGAAAGAGCCTACGCTGTGTTATTTGGATGGACAAGTTATAGACTCTAACAGACCATGTTACTTTCATTTCGTCTCGAGTTCAATCAAATTTTAGACATTTCAAGACAATATAGGGATGTAATTATTTTCTTATTCCAATAGCAGAAATCAAAATATGAAATAAAACAACTACTGCAATTGACAGAAAAATCAATAAGGAAATCCACTTTATACCTAACTGAACTGATTATTAGGTAAACCACGGGTTAATACCTGTATGGTATATGTTGCTATTTTTGATTCTGAAAATGGAGTCTCCCCAATAATCAGAATGCAAGTTCATCACTAAATACTACTTTCTTCGTTTCAATTTATTTGTCTGATTTAGACTTTAAGAAAATAAAAAGATTTTTAGGTATCCTAATCTTAAACTAAAGATATATAGAATGCACCGAAATATCTTTCAATTTTGTGATTTTAAATATGTCATATGGAAAATTAGAATTAAAGAGTTGTCAAAAGAAGAACGTGCTGATAGGCCACAGCCTCACACGATATAAACTGTATTCAATGTAGGTTTGTTGTGGTGATCAATAAAGGGATCATTAGCCTAACTCTCTTCAACAGTTAGTTCAGATTTTATCCTTTGTTAAATTTGTAAACATTACTTAAGAACACGTAAATTAAGATGTATGGTATATATATATATATATTTAATTGTTGCAACTTGCACCAGATCCTACTGTTTTCTGGCAATGAGGTCTCCACTTTGTGACTTTAGCAGCTATAAAGGCACAAGTGATATGTAAATTTTCAAAATTCTGTTTTCTTTTCTCTAGCATTTTGAAAAATGGCTTCCACGGTACAATCAGGGATTAGCAAAACTGCTGGCAAGCCTATTCGTTGCAGAGGTATGTACATACTCTTCAGAAAAAAGGAGGATTTTTATATGATAAAGGTTGTTGATATTGTGTTGAATTGAGTACTATTTCACTGGTTAGCTTAAATTGTTACTGTTGAACTGTGTCACGTTACTGAGAACACACTTTTAATTACTTAATTATATTACGTTTCCACACTGACTTGTGAGTTGTGTGTGCTGCAGCTGCGGTGGCAAGAAAAGCAGGAGAACCACTGGTGATAGAGGAAGTGATTGTGGCTCCTCCTAAAGCACATGAAGTTCGACTTAAAATCATTTGCACTTCTCTCTGTCATACTGACATTACCTTATGGAAGTTGAAAGTATGGAACTTTTATCCAAGTATCTCCCCTCGAGAATCACTTGTTTATTAACTTTTGTATCAACTGTTCTTTTTTTCTTGTAAGGAATTTCCTGGCTGCTTTCCAAGAATCTTAGGCCACGAAGCTTTCGGGTAAATTTTACTCCTTCCATTCATTTTATATGAACGTGTCACGAAATAAGGCATTGATTCTTATATGACATTCTGACTATACTATCTAAGGGTTGTGGAGAGTGTTGGAGAAGATGTTGATGAGTTGAAAGAAGGAGATTCAGTTGTACCGATATTTTTACCTGACTGTATGGACTGTGTAGACTGTAAATCCAAGAAAAGCAACCTTTGTTCCAAATTCCCAATTCAATCGTCTTTGTTGCTGCATAGAGATGATACAAGCAGATTCACTAATGCTGATGGAGAAACTTTACACCATTACCTGTATATATCAAGTTTTTCCGAGTACACAGTCGTTGATGTTGTTAATGTAACAAAGATTGATCCTGAAATCCCACCTAACAGGGCATGCCTTTTGAGTTGTGGAGTATCAACAGGTAAGTTCCTCATCTTCTAATATTTACATGTTATAAAAATCAACCAAGTCATCATATTAATGTTGTTTGCTTCAATTTTCCTTAAAACTATCTGTGGTTCATGTTTGATATGACGTAAATTAAACCTCAGGAGTCGGTGCTGCCTGGAAAACAGCAAATGTGGAACCAGGTTCGACAGTAGTTATCTTCGGTTTAGGATCAGTTGGATTAGCAGTAAGTTTCTCCTCCGACTTCTTCCTGCTTATATATGTCAGTATCATGTAAGCTGTTATGCCTCTAGAGGATCTTTTAGGTTGCCGAGGGAGCAAGGCTATGTGGTGCTACAAGAATTATCGGTGTTGGTAGGAACTCTGACAAGTTTGAAATAGGGAAGCAGTTTGGAGTTACTGAGTTTGTCAATTCGAAAAGCTGTGGGGATAAACCTGTTAGTCAGGTGGGCTTTTTATTGGTATAGTGAGGTCTCCTTAAAATGTGGGATTCGTGATCTTGAAAATAAAACGGAGTACATACCTGTATATATTAAATATGACAATGGTTCTTATCTTTTGTCAAAACTCTCATATCAGGTAATAATTGAGATGACTAATGGAGGTGCTGATTATTGCTTCGAATGTGTTGGTTTGGGAACACTTGTTCAGGAAGCATTTGCCTGCTGCAGAAAGGTCTCCCCGCGTAAATCTTGTATTAATCAACAACACAAATTTGTCTATTAACCTTAAGCTGTAATATGCAGGGTTGGGGTAAAACAATTGTTTTAGGAGTTGATAAGCCAGATGCACGGTTGAATCTTAACTCTTTTGAGGTTCTTCAGAGTAATAAAACTCTCATGGGATCATTCTTTGGTGGTCTCAAACCCAAATCTGATGTTCCTATCCTCGTTAAACGTTACCTTGACAAGGTACTTAGATCAATCTGCTAGAAAATTCAGTGACCCTACGTGAAATTAACTCTTAGTACCACATTTATGTGGCTTCTCAGGAATTGGAGTTGGACAAGTTTGTGACACATGAAGTGAATCTTGAAGATATCAATAAGGCGTTTGATTTGCTCATTCAAGGAAAGAGCCTACGCTGTGTTATCTGGATGGAGAAGTGATATATAGATTTACTTTCATTTCAATAATTGTACCTCAACTCTCAATAACCATGTTACTTTCATTTCAGTTCCTTTTGTATCGAGCTCGAGTCAAACTTTAGACATTTCTAGCTCAAATATATGGATATGATCATAAGTATGACAGATTATTACAGCAAACTTATTATTGCAGATTTTGCAAATGTTCCTCTCAGAAACAGACTAGTAATTGAGCAGCACATTATTATATCTACATATTGAAGAAACTTCAACTATCCTATGACAATGTAAAAGCACTAGATGCACCAGTATAATACGAGTTAGATGATTCTTTCGTTTCCTTAGTTGATCCAAAATGTCTTAAGCGATATACGCCAGGACTAGCATCCTCTGGTACTTCCCATTCAACTGTAGCATAACCATAACTATTCACATCAGCACGATCAATACCAGTGATATTTTCTGCTTGCCATTTAAAGAACAAGCAAAAATCATCGTCATCATATTCAGGTAGCCAACTTTGGTGTTGAAGCATTTCCACAACAGCAAATGTGCCTTCAGTAAGTAAGTCATATCTTGGATTTGCACTCCAGAATGTTGCAATTACTCTGTCTCCCTTTGTAAACGTTCCGGATTTTGGTACCATTATGTCTTGTTTAATATCGCCAAAGTTTATGCCTGGTGGAGGTGAATCACCAGTAGGATTTGGTAATAGACTAAGTTGAATTGACAAAAGGTCTGGTGGTAAAGGTCCTTTTGTAGTAATGTTTTCTCCTTTTGCCATAGATTCAGCTAGCTTCTTGAATTCTTGAATATATGCTGATACTGTGTGTGGACCGTATAGCGTAGACGCAGCCTGCCAAAGTTTAAATGACGATTGATTTAAGTTATATGAAAGAACAAATTTGGATACAATACTTCTATTGTATATGATATGATAGTGAGAACTTTTAAGAGGTGTATGATAACCTATTATAAGAGGCTTACTTTACTATAATTTAAACTTAATAATAAACATATATATAATTATACATTACAACCTCATATCGTTGTTGCTTGTACTCTTCAAAAGTGGTAATGTATTGTGAGTAAGCGTTGGTTAGGCCAGCTATGACAACATGAGTTTGGTCATCAAATTCGCCATTTCCGCTGCGAATTAGTGTCTCTTTCACTGCCTCTCTTAACCTACGTCCAGCCATTGTTGTAAATTCTGTACCACAACATGAATATGTACATTTTTTCTTAATAATTTTGAAATAAGTTACTATATTTAAGTATATGTCACAAATTTTATATTTAAAAATATAGTCAAAGTATACCTCCTGGCACAGAAAGAATGATGAGACTTCCTAACCTAAAAATTTGAATTGGAAGTATTGCTGGCTGCAAAAAAACAAAAACATCATTAAGTTTATTATATGACATATTAAGAGAAATCAAGAGAATTTTCCTTTTGTTCCTATTTATACAATAAAAAAAAGTTAAAACTTTATCTTTATCTTTATTTTTATACAAAATTTAGCTAATATAATTGGTGTACTTGTTATACACAGAGTATACACTAACAATACCTCTATCCTTAACCAGATAGACACCAAATGGAATATAATTTGGTAGGGAGATCTTTCCTCCTAAATGGGAGTTTCCTGTGCGACTTCTAATTAGTCGAGCTTCGATACGATAACAAACAGAAATCAAAAGGGAAAAAAGAAAAGTATACACCACTTTAATTTTGTTTTTGGGCCTTACCGCCCAAGGATATGGCCGAAACATCTCTCCAGAGTCCAACAAAACAGTTTTGGGCTTTTGACAGCTCACTTGATATGGGCTTGGTTCTCTTAACTTCTTCCAGAATGGATTAATCTGAAAATCAAATCAAATTTTCATCTTTAAAACATAGTAATAATAGATTAATTTTAATTTTTTTCAAGATTATAAAAAGTTAATTAATTAAATTGAGTTGTGACCTCAGTATCACACTGTTGGAAACCAAAAACACCAGGCCCATCAGTAGTTCCAGCAGCAAATCCTGAGCCCAATGCTGCAGGGCATGTTTGGACAACCTTATTATCTTCTAATTGAACCTTAATATTTGTAATGTCGATAATCAATTTTCCCTATTAATTCTTGTTTAGCAGATGTGAAAAGATCAACAGCCTTTTGAAATTGTCTTTCTCCAATAATCTTTGTACTCAATATTTCATCTGGATACCTGCAACACACATTAGATTGTAATCTAAAAAATCCATGAATCTTCACAAAAAAAAAAATCATCTACTAAACAGTTATCTGAAAAAGGGACGAGTCTTACCTAGGCCCGCGGCCCAGCCGCCTTTAGTCTTTCCCATCGTGGTGACTGAGTAGACATCAGGCGAGAACGGACCTTATAACCTGCACCCGCTAGCCTTTGTAAAGTCGATATTTCTATCGAGTATCGGCAGGACAATTGGCACAGGCCTACAGTCGTTCTACAGGAGGTTAAAGCTTTGAGAGAGATGGGAGAGAGAGTTGGTCATTTCCATGACAAGAAGAGTGATTAAAATCACAAGGTAATCCACTATCAATACAAAATGCTCCAACCACATTTGGACTCACATCTCCAACATTTGATTGACAAAATGCTCCAACAAATTTCATTATTTTGTTTTTTCTCACCTTAAACCCTTGACTTGTTGTATTTGTACAAGGTTGTCCTCCTGTAGGCTTGATTTTAGATGCTTTATTAAATAAATCTTGGTTGATACTTGATCCTGAAATTTGTAATAAGAAAGATGATTACATGCTACAACAGATAAATATAATTTGATGTGCAAAATTTTTTTAAAACTGATAATGTATATATTAAGTATGATTTCATAAGTGATGTTAGGAGAGGATTAGATATATGTTATCTTACCTTGAATAAGATAGAAAAATGTAATTGTGTACGATAGATTATTTTTTTACAAAAACAAAATGAATATTTACCTACCTAACACCTTAGTAGAGGAATTTTTGGTGAACCAATCCTCAAAGAATCTAGCAGCTGCACCCTTATTATCTCCACTAATTAGCTTATTATTTCTGCTCATTGAAGTGCCATGTGTTGCAAACCAACTAAATGCACCAATATTTTTTCCAGTATCTTTATCCACAAACTTTAAAAGGGTCATTAGGGTATCAATATTTGTATTATATTTAGATCTCTCTTCTTGAGGATTGAATAAATATGCACTTGGACTCCTGTTTATGCCTGCATTTTCTAGATTTCCTACATAATTATTCAAACAAAAAATGACAATGTTAGATTCGTGTAGAATACAAATTGTCATGTAGGTGCCACATTAGACACAAACATTCAGAATTAAGCTTTTGAGATAAAAGTTACACTATATTTAGTTGACAATATAAATTTTATCATATTCCACAAAATTAAGGATAACTTTATCCCACCAGCTCGTAGGTGGGATAAATTAGTAAAAAAAATCATAATTTCATAACTATAATCTCGAAATAATTTTGCTTTTTTACACAAGAGAGAATGAAAACTAATGTATTTTTATGAAAATTATTACTTTAAGTCATTTTAATTATACATAATTCATTAGATTAAGTCAATAAATGAGTCATAATTGAATCCGTTTAAACTCCAGAGAATTACTAAGAATTATTGTAAACTAACTATGATTAATTTCTCACCTTTGTTAATAAAGATAGAACCAGGCTTTAAATTGTCATGGGCCTGGACAATGCTAAGCTCAATGGCAGTTACAATGGCCTCAAATGATTGTGGCACAAAGCCCAATGAAGTTACACTAAATGTCACATACTGCAAATAACCTCCTGGACCAGCATGAGTATGTGTCCCACTTATTGCAACATTATCTTCACTATATATATTTCCATACCTTAATATATACAACCAAAAAATAATACTTTCGATAAGCTTTGTGTCCAGTCAGATATGGTCAAATAAAATCATATGAGTCGTACCTGGACTTTAGTCGCTCGAGTAACTTGATTGTGACAAGTTGTGACGCCATACCAGCATCAAGATTAACAAACACAAGCCTTGGACCATTGAAACTTTCAGCAACGATGAATGTCCTAGCTCGTAATCGAAAATGTATACCACCAGTAACTTGATCAAAATTACCATAACCCATCATGTTCACTTGTGAAGCTGGTCCTGTCATGTCATAACTTCCTAATCCTATTAAGTATTCTCCATTGACACTTAGAATTATTAGACTAAGTAAAAACAGGAAAATACTTAATAAGGTTTCTGTTTTTCTTCTCATTTTGTTCTATGAATGGAAATTGTATGGATTGTTTTTAGAATTGTATATGCAAACGTTGGGTTATATATATGTTAGTGAACAAATTGAGAATACCTAAGAAGCTCTTGGATCTACTGTTGTTGTAGCGGTTTATTTGAAATCAGTATTTTTGACGTGAAAGATAAATTTATATGTAAAAAATTAACTAAAATTGTGAAAAATAGTAGATATGAACTTGTAACTTTAAAAATATAATGAGTTCAATACTAAGACCCATAAATATTGAACTCGTAGAATTTAAATTCTGAATCTACCTCTGCATCGAGCTTCGAATGTTTTGATTTTTTTTTACTATGATGAAATTTGGTTGCTCCGAACGTGCAATTTTGGGAAAGTTGTGTCTTGTTTGTTATATGTTGGAATTGTAAGTTTTTTTCGGCTTGAATTTTAGCTATTTGTTTTCAGTTTCATTTGGTATCAAGTATGCATATATCACAAATCCAAAACTTGTATTTTATGAATTTTAGTATATGTGACTCTGAGCTCTTCTTATTTCCCAACATCCTTTCTAAGGCTAACGCGAAATATTTTGAATACTAACTGTTCCAGATACTGAATCGTCCTATCGTTACATCTCAGAGTGTGTTCTTTGCAGGCTTTTTAGATTAAGATGCATAAATCAATCTATGCTCATTATTTTTCCAGTTCCCCACCATTATGTTACCCCATTTCATAGAATATGCACTTTACACTTTGTAAAGCACACACTTAATGAACCTCAACTTTACTCTTACAGCTCATGCCTCATGGCTAATGTTCCATGTTTCTTCAAAAGCTTATTGCTTGAATTGCAATCTTGTCTAATCCATAAAGGCATGCTAAAAAAATTGCTTCTGTGAGAACTTCTTTGGTAAAGTTGAAGTGAGTGTAATT